AAATGATTAGTTATCTAATCCTCCAATCCTTTTTCCTAATCAAATCTTGGTTCTAATTACATATGTAGTATATTTTATTTGGCAAGTTTGAATTAATGTATAGATAAAGATTAAAAAAAGGGGAGGTCGGTTGATCACATAAAATTGTGATGATTTCGCCAGATTGAGTTAATGATACTGATGCTCGCACTTGATTGGTTGGGAGTCTGGGTGGGTCCCACGAGAGCAACAGAAACCAGAAACAAAGTCATGAGCGTGGGCCCCACAAAAGCCTGCTGAGCTTAAAGAGCTTGCATATGCACGCTACACACACAACAATCAAACTTCAATCCTCAACCTGTTATTTACGGTGCACATATAATACCATCTCCACAGCTTTCCTACCACTCAAATTATAACGGATGGTGTGATGGTAAAGATTTTCATCTCATGTCTTGAAAGGCGAAGGGTTATTTTGTATAAAAATTTATTTTGATAATTGTTAAGTATCAACATTAAATTATAAAGTGTTTTAAAAAGTCTAATTGATATCACCCTTATTGATTAAAAAAAAAAAAAAATGGTACAATTAATGTTCAGACACAGCTTTATGATATGTCTTTTTTATTTTTATTTTTTATAGATGATAGGGAACGGTTTAAACCAGTCAATCCTTAGTCTCGTGACTTCAACATAAACTCCAAATGTCTACAATCAAAATCTCATGTTGAATTTGAAATCCCAAAATACCAACTGTAAGATGTACTAATTGAGCAACCCTAATAGGATAGTTGTCACATTATTTTGGGTGATAATCGTTGTAGGTTGCAAAAATTATAATAAAAAACAACACTTTCTTTGCCTATTGTATATCCCACTCATGGTTCGTAGTAGCGGTCGCGGTGTAATGGATTCGAACAAAATCGGTGTAAATTGGTCGATACAGGTCGCATATCGAATTTGAAAAAGGGTTGCGTATCGACCGATACAGCGAACCATGATCCCACTTGCTACATTTTGGAGTTTTGGAATTTTTTTTATTTTTTATTTATTGGTAAAAAAGTACACATCACTCGGATACCTACTTTTTCTTTTAAGAACTCGAATTATGACGGTTAACTTTAAAAGATTAAGGAGATACAACTAAACCACAAGCTTGATAAAGCTTTGGGACTTAGACCGACCTTACAAACTTGTTCTTTGTCATCACACCAAGAACTCATCCCTTGCAAAAGTGAGAATTAACCAAAAAAAAAAAAAAAAAAAAAAAAAAACACTATTATTATGACTTCATTTTTTATCTTACAGTTAAAGACACATTTTGAAGACAACCATTAAAATAATTAAAAAACATTTAGAGAGAAACAATTAAAAGATTCTTTCGAAAATAGAACCTCTTGCTCATTATAGAATATTCTCCCACGTCTAAAACAAAAAAGTTGTTTTTCTTTATTTTTAAAGCTAGTTTGTTCCATATTAATTAGTATTTTCTTTTGGAGTTTGCTTTACATATTCTATCACATTTAACCATTTTTAAAAATATTATATATATATATACACACACACACACACGTGTATGTATATAGACCAATGGTATGTAGACAAACCCCATCTAACCAACTTCTTTCATTATCTACTTGCACAGTTAAAGGCATATGCAATGATTTCAACAAGCTTTTAGTATTTATTTTTGAAATAATTTAATCAATTAATTTAGAAATTATTTTTATTTTCATATATAACATTATAGTGGGTTTTGAATTCTAAAAATAATAAAAAAGAACCGAAAAGAATTGAAAAAGCCACTTTTCACTCCTTGTTTTCTTTTCTTAATTACTTGCTTTCTTATCCAGTGTTTAGTTGATCAGGTACACTATGTATGGACAAAAGTACCCTAGGAACTCACGAATGTAAGGGCAAAATGGTACATAGGATTATCAAATCCGTACATTTAATATTTTTTGTTCCCACGTTAATTAATTCAAAAAAAAGTAAGAATTGAGGTCCAAATGACAAGTGACGTGCCGACCAAATTCGGCACCAAGTGAAAGGACCACTTTGTCATTTTGTTAATTAGTAGCATATAATTGCTTTTAATAATCTGACCCATGTCATTAATTAACTAACCTCTTTAAAGTATAACAGCACACTAATCATAATAATTATAAATGCATATAGTTATATATATATATATATATATATATATATATCTCTGCTGGATATTTTTGTATATATATTAAATTTAACTTCTTGTACTTGTGATTGTGCTATAGCCTGGGGTAAAATCATTCCCCAAGAGCGTCGCAGTGTTGGCAGCTATATGAAAAGAAAGCTGTACTCCTGACTTGAATGGTACGTATATTGTGGGGTCGATACACGTGCTATAAGGAAAAAAAAAACAAAAAATTTTGGGGCAAAAAATTTCCCAATTATTTTGTTGCTTTGACACTTTTCTCCCTTTTATTTATTCACTTCTCTCTCTCCCCGCTCTATTTTAATATAACAGTGAAAACGAAAATGTCTAGGACATTGTATCAATAATGTTTAATCAGACATAAATAAAGTATTAGATGGTTCTTATCTATAGTTCAATCAAAACTTTATAACTAAAAAAAAAAATGAACTCACAAGATATTGCAGAATTTTAAAATAAAAAAATAATTGAAAAATGAATTTGACTGAACTATGAGCACCAAATATTTTATGGTCCAAAATAGTAAACCATTAACATGAGTGAATGCAAGTAGCTTCAATTGTACCTTAGAATGTTGATACCTCTTGCTATTTATATATAGGTAGGTTGTTTGTTTGTACTTTGTGATATATATATATATATATATATATATATATATATATATGCAATTTTCACGTGATAGCTGCAAATCATGAGATAGCTAGGAAAGGACAAAAGGGGGACAAATTTGAACATAGATTTTGAGTATAATTCAATGTATGGACCATCTTAATTACATGCATCTTCATCATTCAATCTTTCTCAACAAAACATGAATAATTTTATGCACGGTTCAACTTCCCTAACTTGCTAATTAATGTGGGGTCACACCCCTCTCACACATACCCCACAGTAGACATTCTTAAAATACAGAAGATATATCGTGACTCCTTTATAAATTTCACAACAACTGTTACATGAGCAACGAGTTCGGTTTTGATTATAATCCTTGATGGATATATCTAAGAATAAGTAGTGTTGCTAACAAAATAGGTTTTGTACTACATCTAATAATCTCTTAATTGCATGCATGGCAAATTTAACCTAGCTGAGCCAAGCTATGTGGAGTGAACGGTGTGATGGGTAATGTGAGTCTCATTCGGGTTCTAGGTGGCCACAAATGATTGATAATGTGATGTTGACAGGTTGAAAAATCTGACGTGTCACACCTCACGAGGTTGACACTTGTCGAAGGGCGGCGCACCAAACAGACAGGAAGAGCTGGATTGTGGGAGAGAGAATGTGTTTGGGTGGGTTTTAGTGCAAATTGAAAAAGAAATGAGAGAGATCTCAATTAAGTTTGTTTTTGTAAAATCTTAGGGCACAATATAGCGGTGGAGGGTGGCGTGAAAATTTGGTGTCACGCCGTCCAAACAAACCTTTCATGTATCTGCCACCCCACGCGCAATCAATAACACTTTCTCTTCCCCCTTCTCCTTCCTTTATATATAGTGTATATATATACACACACTCATTCTATATGTTATCAACTTGCCATATTCATATTCATATTCATATTCATCTCTCTATATATATACCTTGTTTATGATATTTATATCCCCATCTTCACAACAACATTTACACAACAGATTGTCCAATCTCTCTCTCTCTCTCTGGTGGCAGTGCAAGCATACAATAGAGGTTTAAATTTCTGGTTAGTATTTTCTAGTGCATGTAATATATATATATATATATGTATGCATGTATATATATATATATTGGGTAATTGTCTAGTGTAATATGTTGGTTGTAATAAATTGTTAGTTGATTAACCTTCCCCAAAAAATAAATAAATTAGTAAAAATTTGTTAGTTGATATGGATGATATTTATGTCATAAATGTTCAAAGTTTTTTTGAGAGTTTTGTCTTTCTGCTTGGACTATCCTCAACTAGTTTGCTTGTGTGTGTGTGTTGTCATGCCAGTTTGATCTGAAATGGATGGCCTAATGCATGCATGTCTAGATTAACTTGTTATAGATCTTAGGTTTAAGGCTGAATCAATCTCTCAAGAATGTTTATGTGTGCAGTGTGTGTGTGTGTGTGTGTGTGTGAGAGAGAGAGAGAGAGAGAGAGAGAGAGAAAGAGAGGAGCTTAATTTAGTAATATAATATTTTAATTAATTAGCACTGTGTAGCAAGTAAGTTTCATTGAATAATGATTTGGTCATGAAGTTGAGAAATGTTTGGTGTGAAAACATTTTTCCACCACAAGCATGGAGTGGACTGCACTCAAAGAAACATACTAATGTAACATGCTTGTGTCTGTAAAGTCAATCTTTTCGGCTAGCTTCTTTTGCCTAAGTTCATGCAACTAACTCCAATGGCTATGTTTAGGCTAAAAATCTTTGTTTGTTTTGGTGGGTACCACTATTGGTCTGCCATTTTCCTAGTGATGACATTGTTCAAACACATACAGGACCATTGTAATTGGGTCCCAATAAGTGAGATCATAACTAACATATATATATATATATGTATGTATATATATCTACTCTCATCATCTTCACAAATGGATATGAATCATGCATACATATATATGTTTAACATACAAAACAAAAATGAGAAAAAATAAAATAAAATAAAATTTTACTCGATCACCAAATGAATTCTACAATTTCATTTTTATCAAGAGTACTCATGTCTAGCTTCCAAAATTTTCTTTTCATGATAGGGTTCTAAAGAATATATATATATATATATATAGAACTTCAAGATCACTCTTTTAATATGTTTAGCAATATATGAAGCATTAAAAATGCATATACAACTTCAAAATCTCTCTCTCTCTCTCTCTCTCTCTCTCTCTCTCTCTCTCATACATCTGGTTTTACTTATTTCAGGAGAAGAAAATCAATGGATATGGAGTCATGTGTCCCTCCAGGTTTCAGATTTCATCCGACGGAGGAAGAGCTTGTGGGTTATTATCTCAAGAGAAAGGTTGACTCCCAGAAAATTGATCTAGAGGTTATAGTGGACATTGATCTCTACAGAATGGAGCCATGGGACATTCAAGGTATTATTCACTTGCAACATATATATAGCCCTTCGTAAAAGAACACCTATATATACATAGTCCTAATTAATGGCCTAAAATCAATTTCTTCCAAATGGGAACTAAAAATACAAATAAGAAAAGATCTTTATTGCTTCACTTTTTTTTTTTTTTTTTTTTTTTTTTTAATTTGGAATGTTATGAACCAATCACTAATATTTATATATATATATATATATATATATATATATATATATATATATATATATATGCATGTCAAACCATCTAGATAATTAAAAGTTTGGGAGCCATCCACTTTGAGGATGCATAGAAGAGACATTAATTAGCACATTCCTCTATAGTCAGAAGTAGTCATCCTCTCCCCACTCAACAAAATAAAAAAATAATAAAAGAAAAAAAAAAAAGATCGAAGAAGAATAAGAAGAAGAAGAAGAAGAAGAAGAAGAAGAAGTGGTTCAGTACCTAATTACACTGTTTTGGAAAAATAATAATGAAAATAATTGGATAATTGGAAACTGAGTTTCTAATGATGCATTTATTTTCTACATGCAGACAAGTGCAAGTTTGGATGTGAAGAACAGAATGAGTGGTATTTCTTCAGTCACAAAGACAGAAAGTATCCAACCGGAACACGAACCAATAGAGCCACTGCTGCCGGATTCTGGAAAGCAACAGGGAGAGACAAGGCTGTCCTTTCGAAGAACAAAATAATTGGAATGAGAAAAACCCTAGTGTTCTACAAGGGGCGTGCACCCAACGGAAGGAAATCAGACTGGATCATGCATGAATATAGGCTCCAAACATCTGAACATGGACCTCCACAGGCAAGCTCAATCATCAACTTATAACTATTTTTTTTTTTTTTGTTTTTGAAAAGTAACTTATAACGAAATTGGTTGTTATAGTAAAGATGTTAAATTCATTGAAAAATTGACTCCCAAAGAAAAATATTTTGATGTAAAAAACACTGCATGTAGTATCTTCCTTCTCAATTTCTAGCTAGTATTATAAGCTTCTAATTAAGGACAATGTTTCTTTGGATGTGATTTATATATACATAAAGAAAGTATCATATATAGTCTTAATAAGGTTTTCTTTTGTGGTTGAAAGTGAAGAATTTTGTTTCAAAGACAAAGCATGCATGCTCACTTTTACTTGTTCTTAAAGTACAGATGTTAAATTCAATAAATTAAAAATGACTCATAAAAAAAAAAATTAATTGATGCAAAAAATACTGCAATAGTAGCTTCCTTTTCAATTTCTTAGTAGTAAATATATAGCTTCTAACAAAAATGTTCCTTTGGATGTGATTTATACATAAAGAAAGTACCATGCTCTTAATAAAGTTATCTTTTGTGGTTGAAAAAGGAGAATTTTGTTACAAAGGCAAGACAAAGCATGCATGCTCACTTTTACTTGTTCTTAAAGTACAGATGTTAAATTCAATAAATTAAAAATGACTCATAAAAAAAAATTAAAAAAAAAAAATAATTGATGCAAAAAATACTGCAATAGTAGCTTCCTTCTCAATTTCTAAGTAGTAAATATATAGCTTCTAACAAAAATGTTCCTTTGGATGTGATTTATACATAAAGAAAGTACCATGCTCTTAATAAAGTTATCTTTTGTGGTTGAAAAAGGAGAATTTTGTTACAAAGGCAAGACAAAGCATGCATGCTCACTTTTACTTGTTCTTAAAGTACAGATGTTAAATTCAATAAATTAAAAATGACTCATAAAAAAAAATTAATTGATGCAAAAAATACTGCAATAGTAGCTTCCTTCTCAATTTCTAAGTAGTAAATATATAGCTTCTAACAAAAATGTTCCTTTGGATGTGATTTATACATAAAGAAAGTACCATGCTCTTAATAAAGTTATCTTTTGTGGTTGAAAATGGAGAATTTTGTTACAAATTAAGGCAAGGCATGCATGCTCACTTTGACTTATTAATCCACTAGGACCAACTAATGGAAGTCATTTTCCCTAGAAGTTCTATCATATCCCTTTGTAGCATCTCATGCATATATATGCTTCTGGATTAATTAACCAATTCTATCATCACATTTTCTCAACTAGTAGCTAAACTTAATTAGATAATATTGCAGGAAGAAGGATGGGTTGTGTGTCGAGCATTCAAGAAGCCAAGTCCGAATCAAGGGCAGCGCTTTGAAGCTTGGAACCACGCTTACTATTTCAGGGATACTGGCAATTTTAGGCCGCCTTCATATCAAGATACAGTTAGTCAAGTGCAAGCAGTTCATCCCAATCAAGGCACAAGTTATCATCAATTGCCTTTGGGTTCAGACCAGGACCTCATGTCCAACCATACATGTTTGGAAAATCAACTTGTTGAACTTCCACAACTAGATAGCCCCTCCATTTCTACAAGTTTGGCAACAAAAGAAGGTTTTGAGCAGAATGGCTTAGGCAATGAGGATTGTGATGATGGAAGGAGCAACCATGGTAACCAATATGTTGATTGGAAGAATTTGGACAACTTACTTGCACCACAAGTGACAGAACCGGTGTCGTTTGATCATTCAAATATTCCATTAATCTACCATGAATATGATGAGCTAAATGCTCAAAACAACATAAGTCATCTCTTTGAATGCTTTCCTGACTTGTAGCTAGCCGGAGCTCAACCACGACACCGCGATTTATATATATACATGATCTGATGAAGTACATTTAAATTAATAATGGTCAGTTTCTATGGAAAATTAAGGTCTTTTTATCATGTAGAAGTTGTTTTTGAGAATATTTTTTTATATAAGCATGCAGAAAGAACTGTTGTGACAAAAGGAGACATCTCTTAGAGGTAGCCTCCCACAAAAGGGGCCCTAGGTTGAATTGTTATTCACCTTTTACTTGTTTCTTTTATTTTATAATTGTAAATTAATTATGCATCATTGCATCCATTTGTATTCAGTGATTTTAGTATGCCATAAATGGTGACTTTGTAGCATTATCTTGTTTGGAACTAACATGATATATATATATATATATTTTTTTTTTTCCCTTGGCAAGAATCCTTCACATTCATTTGCTCTTATGGAAATTTGATTGTTCACTTCTCTCACTTTATGGCACTGAGAAAATACCATTAGACTACAAGGAGCCGTTAAGCACCCAAACAATATCTTCAAAAACTCACGTACTGCATTTCTCAACAACACTGGCTGAGAAGGATTCATTTGGCTAGATCAATTGACATTAATCTGGTGGTATTGATTGTTGACCATATCTCGATCACAAATGAGCCTTTTCAAATTGAAATGGACTCGTTGAAACTATCTCGAAAAATGTGTCAGATCGCCCACAGACACGCTCGTATAAACAGTTTTCATAATTATCGATGACCCATCCAACATCACCTTGATAACGTGATAACGAGCTTGCATAATTACAAATGATGAAAATATTACAAAGCACTGCTTAAGGAAATGGAACCATACTATTTTAATTATATGTAGTATGTGATAAAAATATATATTAGAAGACAAACTAGAACAACAAATATGATAGAGAGAAATCGGAGAGAGTGAGAACTATTATATATGAGCTTGAGATCTCAGGATTAGGGGTTAGGGAGCGTATATTGCCTTGGGATGCATAGTTGGATATAGTAAATTGTTGTGTGCCCTGGTAAATCATGGTACTCATGCTCACCATATGTGCATTTTGCATGTTACCTATTATCCAGTTGATGCCGCCCTATAGTCCAGTGAGAGTCCTTTAGTGTGTATCTATGTATAAATACGGCCTACGTAGCTATTGTATGAGTTAACTAAGATGTAGTTGTGTATCAGGTTTCTGTTTGGGATGTAGTAGAGAAGGACTTGTTCGTGTGCCTGACTCACTATTTTTTTTCAGGTATTCGTCAAGTGTAAAGATTGTTCGTGCAGAGTCAAGACCAGACACTTCCGATTATCTACGTAGGATTTTACTTTATACTTTCGGACTTTGTATTTAGATATTTATTTCAGTTATTGTTTTAGTTTGGATTTTATTAAGGATGCACATTATGGATTCCAGAATTGTATTCTAGAGGATTATTGGTATCACAGTATTTGGAGATTTATTTTATTGGGATATTATTATTGAAGGATTTATTTAATTATTATTTTAGTTTTTCTTTGAGCTTTATTTATTTATTAAAAGAGATAGTATCACCACATAATTTCAGTGTAGAACTGATTTTAAACAAGATAGAGTTATATTCACCCACAGTTTTATAATCTTGTAACCGTAGTTGCTGTTAATAAACCCGAGTTTTTAGGAGAATAACTATTTTTTGATGATTATATCTCTCCTTTATATTATTCCACAAAATGGGAGGGTCTTTGACCGTACGGTATTCAGTTTTTCAATCCTCATTTATATGACGACGAAGGAATATAATTTAGTTCGCCTTATCTTCTAATGATGCCTTATTTTTTTCTTGAATTGTATTTCCAAGACCTGTGGCATCCAGATGAATTTGAGCATCCAAAATTCAAGATAAATAATTTTTGCCCACGAATTTCAACTTTGTCAGATTCGACTTTTTTCAGAATAACCTTTGGAGTGAGAGATAAAATTTTCCTCTTCGTTATTTTCAGCAAAGCAAGCAAATTCAACAAATCTAGCAAACTAATATCACAAAAGAGATATATAGAGTTGAGATAGAAAGAGAGATTTTTGTTAATTCAAGTCTTAGTTGGTTAGAATTCGTGCTTGTAACGTGTTATAAATATATATTGGAAGACAAACTAGAACAACAAATATGATAGAGGGAAATCAAGGAGAGTAAGAACTATTGTATTTATATTAGTTCAAGCGTGCAAATACAATTCAACATATATCACTCCTATTTATAACACATAATGCCGACCAAGCCACTCATTTGCACCAATCACGTATGCTTCCTTCTTGCTTACAATTTTGATACATCATTACAATTTGTAACTTGCAAAACAACTTGCAATGTACTCACATAGTAATAAAATTGTGGGCCCTATTATCATAACAGTATAATGGTTTTTGGAGATACAAATATTTAAACGTTGCCATCATGAGGAGCAATTATAATTTACAATGAATCATAAGAAATCAAAATAACAATGGATCAAGAAATAAAAACAAATGATCTATCGTTAAAGAAGTAGCCTAAGGCGATAAGTAAGGTTAGGAAATGATGCCTCAAAACACAACCATTTGGAATTCATATACAATTCATTTCATTTCATTTTAAAAAAATTATTTTTTGGTGATTAAATATACAATTCATTTCATTTTGTTAAATTTACAATTCTTTAAAGTTGCATTTGGTATGCAATAATAGAATGCATTAAAAATGGGAATGGAATGAAATCATCATTTTCATTCTTCAAATATGAAATGTATAATAATAAAATGAGGTTGGACTGATTTAAAATTTAAAATGGAATGAATTTTAAATTGAATTATTCAAAATACCCCTGTTGGTGACAAATTAAATCAACAAAATAACGTTCTTCTATAATTTTTTAAAAAGAAATGACGACGGTGGTAGATGGCGATGATAGTGCTGGTGAAGGTAGAAAGCGGTAGTGGTGTCAGTGGTGATGTTGGAAGGCGGCAGTGGTAATGGCGAAAAACAGCAATGGTGTTGGTGGAAGGCAATGGCAATGGCAGTGGTGGTGGTAATGGTAGATGGCATTTGTTGTATAAATAATGGTGGAAGGCATTGGTGGTGGCAATGGTGTGGTGGTAGTAGAAGACGACAATATTATAGGTGGTGGTGGTAGTGGAAGGTGGTGGTAGTGGAAGGCAGTGGTGTTGATGGAAGGCAATGGAGGTGGCAGTGAAAGGTGAAGGCAGTGTGTGTGAGTCCTAATTAGGAAAAAAAAGAAAAAAAAAAGGTGGTAGTAGTGCTAGACGTCGGTCGAAGGCAGTGGAGGCGATGGTGGTGTGGTGATGGTGGACAGTGGTGATAGCGATTGTAATGCCCCATAATTTTATGGATTAAATAAATGAAATTATTATTTTTTAAAATTAGGTTTAGATTAAATATTTATATGCTTACTAGTGTGTATTTCGTGTTGTTGTCGTGTTGTTTATTTTATGGGATTTTAATGCACTAGGTTGTGTTTATTGGGTTGGGTTTTATGCTGAGGGTCATGGGGTTCCATGGGTTAGCATTGAATTCGAGTTAGGCCTATTGGTGGGCTTAGTGGGTTAGTTTAATATTATAATTAGGTTAGTTAAAGAGGGATTATAGACCATATGTATATATATAGAGAGAGAGAAAAAGGTAAAACAGAAACACTGGGCTAGGTCATAGAAGGGAAACCAGGAGAGGACTACGACCCTAGGCTGGAGGCTTAAGGATTCGTATTGCTGCCTTACAATCCATGAGGCAAGTACCTTTCTTTTCTTCCCCTTTGGACCTATAAACGTTTCAGCTCTGTGAAATGATATATATATACGTCTATACACCGTTAAAACATAAAACGATTCTGAGATCTAAACTGGATTATAGAAACGCCTCTATTAATTCTGAACTGCATGTTTAAATCTATAGGACATATATTGGTTTTAATATTCTGGTTTGAATTCTGAATATGTTTATGTTATTACTGATTGGTATGATTTAAGTATGCCGTGTTTGAATTATGCATGTCTCTATTATTGCTGATTTGTATGATTTTAGCATACCAGGTTCAAATTTTATATATGTTTATGTTATTGCGGATTTGTATAATCTAAACTGTAATGCATAATTGGTAAGGTTTTACCAGTTTTGATTCTTAATTATGTTATGCTGGTTTAGGTTGAAATTTCCGCCCCACTGGACCTCAGGCTCGACCTTAGAATTTTTTGCATGAACCTTAGTGCTACATCGGAATTAATGATGTGAATAGTTTAATTAATTTCATGCCTTATGTGTTATAATTGATATATAACAATATTTATGGTTTAATTTAGTGGTTGGATATGAGAATAAATTTACTATGTGCAATACCTTTAATTTTAAAAGGATAATCTCGATATTTTTTTTTAGTTATTTTAATTGCATTTTTAATTGTTTATTAGATTTCTTGGCTAATTGTTTATTTGTTTAATTGATTTGATTGTTTATGTGTTAATTGAATTGTTTGTTTAAATTAAATGGTGTGCTAAAATTATGTGTATTTGACTTATTTGTTTAAATTAAATTGTATATGATGATGGGAATTTGTTTAGGAATTTAAGTGTTTTGTTTTATTTTTATTTTTTATATTTTTTTAAGGAATTGGATATGGATAGTGGTAATGGACCAACCAATTAGATCCCATGGACTACTTGGATAAGGGATTTAATGGATACGAATAATTACCCATGAAAAGTTGTATATGTATATATAATAAATAAATAAATATATATATATATATATATATATAAGGAAAGTTCTTTAGTAATAATCTGATGTATATTTATATATTATATATAAAAAGGAATATACATAGATTATACGTAACATATATTTCAGTTATTTTTTTAATATTTTAATATTTATTATTTTATCTGTTAAGTTGACTTGGATTGAGAAAATGATTAGGTTATTTCATTTAGTCTATAAATATATAGTTATAGGTTATGAAAAGAGGTTAGAAAATATATCACGTAATATTTTTTAAAAAAAAGAAAGAAGGAAGACGAAGTAAGAGAAAAATGAAGAAGGAGGGTAGGATTTTTTATCAAATCCCTAAAGGCAAGTTTTAATTCTTTTCTTCTCCTTTGATTCATACCCTACGTATGCCAGATTAATTCTTGAATCAGAATGTTTCATAAAGGTATAGTCAAAATTGTATTTTTTTGTTTGTTTATTCATCAAGTATGCACGCTGAACTAGGAGAAAACAAGAAAAAAACAATGACTTTGTCATACAATTGTAATTAGAATGTTTCCTGCATGTACACGCCGTACGAGAAAGACAAAAAGAAAAAAAAAAAACACGAACAAACAATGGCTTAAAA